AAGCTTTAAACTAATTGGATTGTAAAATCTCACTATTAAAATTTAGTTATTGAAATAAGCGTTTGATTTAATATTCGACTTCGTCGTTAACAACATTTATAAGCAATAAATTATAGTTGGCAACTTTACATGTAAGCTTAAGCTAAATTTATGCAATCATTGAAATGAAAGTAGCTTTAGATGCATTTTTATTAGGCGAATCTTATAAGCAATTTAAATGCTATTTCACTCCGACGAAATTCACTTAAGACGCTTATCATATGACAAACATGATCTCAGCATTAAACCACAAAATAGGTCATAAGAACGTATGTGGTTGTTAGAAGTTCGGTGACTATCAAATGCAGGCATAAGCCAAATGATTTAATATAGCGAAACGCGAGTATCTCGTACGGCTGTGTAAACAGCAGCATCGTAAGTCATCACCCGCTTAACGAGTACTCAAATGTTACGTATACGCCCTGGTGTTCATTGTGAAGTTGCATAAAAATCAAAAACAACAATAAAAATAAAATAAAAGCAAATATTTTTATGCATATCGGTGTTTGCTTAATGCATATATAAAATGGAGCAAGTATACAGAGGAAGGATAAGAGCTCACTTGAACTTTAACTGATGACCTGCTTCGCAAAATCTGCCGTTGAGTTGTGTACTCAACACTAAAGTAGCATAAAAATTTATTATTATTTTATTACAACCAATTTGAATAAAGCTTTGGAAATTAAAAATGTACTCATGTTATAGTTATAGTTTTTTATTTAAATCTTTTTAAGAGTACAGTGTTTAATGATATTATTTAAGAAATGCATATTTCATATGTACATATGAATGCATCAAATGCAATCTACTGAAATAATTATGCAGATGCTGCATCAGTTATTCTGTGTAAGTCTGAGTACAGCGACAGTCACAAATCAATAAATCCAATAATGATGACCTGACTTCATTAAGCACTGAATTGCTTCTAATTAAAATTATGATAGGAGGAATAATTATACTTGGGGAAGGAATAAAAGGAAACTTAGATTACAAAGATTAGAGGAATTACCGGTAAAAAGAAAATTGCATTGCTTATGCAAAAATTATTATTAAAGAGATTTGATGAAAGTCATCTACTTAAATTGAGCTAAATTTAGGATATTCGAGCATAAAATATCTATATAAATTTTGTGTTAATATATACAACAACATTTTATTACTGTATATATATATATACAGTAATAAAATGCAACTACAAAATTTTAATATATAATTAATTCCAATTTTTTGCTGTACTCAGAAATAACTCATTGGCTTATTAGATAGAATATAATATAATAGAGTTCAAGTTCCAGGCTTAGAACTGTAAGTTTTACGAAATGTTTTTGCTGTGATCACACACTCATTTCTTAGCTGAGAGTATTTCCCAATCTTCATTTTTCAAAAATTTTATAGAATATAAGCATTGATGTATGAGATTCAATGCAGTTTTCTTCTTATTTGAAAAGCCACAAGTTTTATTGTGTGCTATACTAATACTCTGTGGCCTATCCCTACCGACACCGTAGTATTAAAGTCGTTGCGTTTTAATTAAAGCAGCTAACTGTTGCAAGTTTTCTCTAATTAGAACCAGGAGAATCATGTGATCAAACTATAGTCTGCATCTTCTCAGGCCTCATCTGCATTCAGCTATGCTAATGATTTCAGACATTGAGAAATGTAGACTATTCATTGGAGAAAACCCAATACCCTGGAATTACAGGAGAAGTATCTATAATTCCTAACAGATCGGTTCCAGAAAATGAAGACATTCCTATCAAGATGTCAGTGTGAATTTCAACTCAATTAGCAAAGAAAACTTCATCTTGAATTTAGTATTTTCTATTGAGTGATTAGGAAAATAATCATTTATATATGCAGATGTTTTCAGCTAATACATTTTATATATATATGAATAGATAAACTGAATTTATCTAATTCCCTCTGTTCATTTTTAATAGATTTATATAGATATTTTGTTATATACACTAATTTAAGGGTACATAGTACATGTCACTCTACTTTGAAATAGTTTTTTTTGACTTGACTTATATTTGCAGAACACTGTTAATTTAAAATCTGTAAGTGCTCACAATTATCTTTTCTTAACAAGCTGTAAAGCAATTAAAAACCTAAAGTCTGTATGACACGAATCATCCCGATATAGCACAGTAAACCGTCTCTAGATCAATGATTTGGTATTTCGTCAACAGACCACCTAGAGTACGTGTGTTTTTGAAGTCACTTAGACCGTTGACCACATTTTCCAGTCTGTGTGTGTTCATCTGTTATCGTTGTTATTGTCTAACTACAGTTAGTCTTATTGGAAATGTTTCTTCTTGGTTATGTGAACTGTGATAGCGATTTATGTTCTTCTTTGAAATGCTTATGGCGTCTCACGATTTGTGATCGTTTTTACCGCGTTTTACTGCAGCCACGTTCAATTCCTTCCAAAAATCAAAAGAACACATTTAAATGTAGTTAAATATATTTAATGTTTTATGTACTTGGCTTACAATGAAAAACATGAGCTCTGGCACACTGCATTGTTATCCCCTAACTATTCACTCTGTATATTCATTAAATATTTAATACGGTACATATGTAAGTATTTTGTATCGTATTTTTCTTTAAAGTCAAGCTTTATATTCTGTGGTCTTTTTCATTGTATAAAGTCCTATTTTTTTAATGCCAAACGGAATACCTTCTGCCTTCTGTGTCCGGATTTTGTTGTTTGTTAACTACTCCTTAAGTAATAGACCTTCTTCGAAAATTTTTGTTATGTTGGTACACCCTTTCTTGATATATGCTACAAATTTGAGCGCCATCTGTCAATTAGTTTGTTTACAGCAGCTGTTAATGTGAGACTACCTCAAGTGCATTTAGCGATTTTTACTATGGAAAATTCTTGTCGTACGCGATTTTTTGACCAAACACGGCACCACTGTCATCGCTAAGGCACCATATTGGCCAGATCAGCATCCGTGCGACTTTTTCCTGTTCCCGAAACTCAAATTACCCGCTCGTGGTAAGCGTTTTGAGTCGATTGAATCGGTAAAAGAGAATTCGCTGAAGGAACTAAAAGCCATACCTGCACTGGCCTATGAAAAGTGTATGGAAGATTGGGTTAAGCGTTGGGATATGTATATCGCTTCAGAAGGCGCCTAGTTTGAAGGAGATAAAATAAATTTAGAATAAAATTTAAATTTGTGTGTTTTATTTACAAAATCCGAGTACTTTTTGAGCTGGAGGTAGATTATTCTATATTTCCATATCAAATTTATATTCTTGTGAGTTAGACAATAGAGCCCATAATTTTTAAATTAAGACAGTATCTGTGCTAGCTTTCATATATCTTAATATCTCTTCATTCGTATTTTTTTCTAAAGTGTTTATTGAATTTTATATTAGTATTTTTTTTGATTAATACGGTTTTAAAGATTTTTTAAGTTTCTTTTTAACGCTCAATCATTGACCTTTATCAAATTGTATATTCTCATCAGTACCGAATTTAGTTAGGCTACAAACTCACAGAAGTTTTTTATATATAAAGTTATATATAATATATAATTGATAAAACGATTTTCTTTTGGGACTTTTAAATAACATTTCACTACGAAGTAGTAAAAAGGAAGTCTCGAAATATGGTCACGTTTATGTTGGATACATCCATATAAGATAAATACGAAAACAGTTTTTTATTTAAAATTTTATAAACATCAAGGATTAAATATTAAATATTTAAAGTATAATATATAATAATAATTTTCGTTAAATTTTGTATTAAATAGTACCTTTTAAGTAATTTCATGTGTACATGTCTTGGATCGAAAAATGCACATAAATGTGGACGTGATTTAATGGCGAAGTTGGCACAACACTGCGTATGATTTATGTTTTCGTGTACAATTAAATTTTAAATTTATGTCTTTAAATATCTACAAAAAATAAGTAAATTTTTTAAGTGCAGTTTTTATTGCTGTTGAACTCAAAATGTACTACTTGACACCAGAAATAAAACCAGTGGTGCTATCTATCTCTTATTTCTGAGCTCATGAAAATAAATTTTTATTTGTGTGATTGCTGCTCAACAAATTCAATTGTAAAATAGAACAAATGCAATCTTTTTTCCCAACATAAGCACAATTTATCTCTAAGTTGGAAACTGCACTAATAGGAAAAAGTATATATATCCGATATCACAAAAGGGCGCAGTTGAAATTGCAAAGAAATAAATTCAATTCTTTATAAGAGGGAAAATAAATCACATTTAAGGAACAAAATGGAACTTAAAAATAGTAAAAGAGGATTTTATAAAAAATGCTTAATTTGTAAAGAGAAAGTCACGAAGAAATTATATACATTTATACATAGAAGTACAGCTTTATATAGTTTGTAAAGCTTTTATATTAAAAATTAAATTAAATTAACTTTAAGTGCGGAAGTGGTTATTATTCACTGCACAGTAGCGGAAATTGTTTGGATTTCAAACTTAAAATGTCAATCGGAAATATATTAAATTTCAATTAAATCCATTTCATAATAAAATATTTCAAAATTTAATATGCAAGCTAATTAAGTATTTTGCTGCATTGAATCTATGTCTGAAAGCAGCATTTCACACGCATTTGCCTATGAAGGCAATGACACCAACAAATGTAATAAAAGGCAGGCACTTGAAGCATATTCGCATAATTCAATTAATAATACAATAAAACATTATATTTTGCTCATTGTACTTTATTCCATGAGGACTGAGTCTGTCTGTACGTGCTTCAGCTTTTAGTGTGCAATTGTGAAGTGAACGTTGGACCGGGCGGTATGAATTTAAAGTAGATAAATTAGATTGAGTAAGAAGTTATTTTCACTAAATAAGTTGTGCAGCAAAAGTGGTTTTTATGTTAAAAATTATTAATGAATATACTATAAAAGAGCAGAAAGTTTGGTTATTAATTAAGTTAATATTTTATGTCAATTCACAGCATTGATTCTACTATAACAGCTGCTCCAACAACTAGTGAAAGTGTTACAGCAGCGGCAGTAACAGCAACAGCAGCCGCGGCAACTACACTCAACTATCAGGATGAGCATGTAGTGCGTCCACATTTAACCAGTCATCACCACTATCATTTGCCACATCAATTTCAGCATCCACATCATCAAAATCATCATCCACACATACACGGCAGTGTGCCCGTACCAACACCGACAGTACCCGCTTCATATGCTACGACTCATATACTAAACGAAACACGTCACATTCGAGCTGCTAGTGGCGGCCCGCCAACAGATGATGATGGTAATGGTGCAGATTCCATAGGACGACGAACACCCCCAACGGTTGCACCATCACCAAATTTATTGCTGCCATCAGAAACAGCATCGCATACATCAGTTTCACCCGCAAAGTCTACTGCACGCATGCGTGACTCTACTTCACAGCATCGAGTAACAATTGACGAATCAAATCTACCAGTTTCTTCAACACTGACTCATCAACCGATAGACGTGACTGGTAGCGGTTCTGACGGTGGCGACGGTTCAGGACCACCAACACCAGGCAGCTCCTCACAACAATTAGATAGTGTGGTTAACGAAAGACAAACTGGTCACTTAGCACTCATGTATCACTCATCACAATTAACAAGTTATCCGGTGTTGCCGGCTATTAAGCGTACACATCGACCATCTTTCATATATCCACCAATGCCAAGAGTGAGAGCGTAAGTACACTTAAACTACTATTGTATTAAGAAATATGCTTAAATAATTTTTAATATTAAATTATTTTGAAAGGAATTTCATATCTTTAAATATATTTGTGGTATGTCTTCATGGTGTGTCATTTTCAGGCAAAAGCGCCTCTTCTGTTTTGTTTACTTAGTGGTTAACACAGAGATGGCAAACAATTTTGCAAATCATTTTCAGTCTTCAGATTCGCGATAAAATTGCAATTAATTTCGAATCATACGCCGTGTTGCCTTCAATGAGCGACGAAGAGAAAGTAAACATTTTTATTTCAAGTTGACAAATTATTTTGCTGTACGACGTGGTGTTTGAGTTAAAAGGACACATGCTGACATACAGAACTTAAATGTGCCCGTAATGCCAGCAATGGAGTTCTGTATATACCAAGCCATATTCTATAAACAGCTTAAAGAATATTACAATAACGTAAACCATAAATATTATATGATGTATCGGTACAAGTGTGTAATGATGGAGTCATTAGCTCTATACTTCAAAGCAATTTTTTTCTTTAAATATAGAAAAAATAAAAGTGTTATGTATTCTGATAAAAATTCTGGTAAATAAGAAAAACAGTTTCTGTATTATTTATATTATACTATTTTTTGTTTTGTCATTAACTTCCACAACTGGATACATTTACTTCTACAATTCTTACTCCAACTCTCAAATTCGTTTTCCCCTATTAGACTAAGAGAATCATGGATGATTAATTTTATTTTCTATTCGAGTTGTCGTAGCCCACTATTTAGAAAATTCGTATGGTACATGACCAGACCTTCCAATTCTCTACACCTTTATTTGGATTTTCAAGCTCCTATCTTATAACAAAACTAGAACTACAGAATCAGAATGCATTCGGTACAATTCTGCTTCCATTTTGACAGAACTAGGAATTATTCTAAAGAAATACTCCCTTAAAAGAGAATTGGTTGTGTTAAAATTACTTCTGGGTAAGATAAATTAAAAAAGTTTAGGTTTGCAAAACGCTTTCTACAATTATAGGCAACAAGACTATTTGTGAGCTTTAATTTTTGAAAATGCTTGTCTCATAAAAATGATCCATTTCAATATTCGGATAATTACTTCTTGGTACTAATCTCTGCAGATTTTAGATATCCAAAAGGATAAGAGCCATACAAAGGGTGCCAAAAGCTATCTTTAAAGGTTTTAAAACAGATTTTCTCTTTCAAAAAATAGAAGTTTTATTTTCTCCGATATAATTTAGTCACAAAGTTGCAATAGATATATTTTTACATACTCTCATTTATTTTAGTGTTTCTTAAATAAACTTCATCTGGAGGCATAAGTTAGTGTATAAGTTACTTATATGCATTCATCGCTCTTAGCATCAACTAACTACTGCAGAGGTAGTCTTTAAACAGTATTTGGAGCCTTGCATTAGTGATTCCAAAATAGTTCAGATTATGACTTCCAGTTTATTTCGTTTGCAATTTTCACATTTTTTGTCATTAAGAATAGATTTAATTTAGTGGAAAGTACTTAATTAAGGAAAGTACTCGTTTAATTGGAAGAAGAAAAGAAATTAATGCTGAATAACGATAGCAGTCATTGGTGGTATTTTATATATTATAAATTAAATTAGAATAAAATATTTAATATTTGCATATAAGTAGTTTAGGTTGGAATAAAAAAGTAGCTATTTGTAAACCAACTTTAAAATAATTAATTAATCAATTAATTAATATTTTTGTACTAGATTTCATACAGTCTAGCAATAATTGAATGTTAAAATGTCAAAAAGCCTAATACAAATGAACCAGAAGTGTCCGTTATTATTCACAATAGGGTAACTTAAAATTTAAATAAAAATCAGTTTAACACCACATCGGCAGTCAAATGTGCATTGGAAAATTGGTTCTAAGACTGGATTATTTAAGCAATATAGAAACTTCAAGTCCTATATTTGACACCAACTTTTGGCGATTTGTATAATTGGAGGAAAAGCAGCTGACAAACAATATGGAGACTCTCTACCATCAAACGAAATAATAAAAAATAGCTTACCGAATTTCATTTCATAAGGAGAATATGATGATCAAATATTTAGTCTGATTTAAAGATGTTATCACATCTTTCGTATTCATCTGACTTATTATTATTTTTTTTTTTATGGTGGATTTTGCGACTTGTAAATCGTGTCCTTTTCATGGATTTAGAGTACTTCTGCAAGTTCAACTTATTCGATAAATTGTAGTATGAACCTACATTATCGAATATTCTTTTTCCTCTAATGTGTAATACTCACCCAAGTTCTTTTTTCGTTAAAGAACTGGTTTTCAAGGAAGATATATATAGCAAGGCAACTTGTGCCTTGCCAAATTTAAAGTTCAGAGTCAGTGTTAATTAGCAAACCTTCCTTACCTTCCAAAGCCTTAGGTTAAGTTATACCGGTGATCCCCAGTGGATCCACTTAGGCCTATTGGCGCATTGTGATACCGTATATAAATAATAAAAACCTCAGGTTTTAAAACTACCTAGAACCTTTTGCAAAGCATAAAATACTATTTAAAGATCCTGTAACTGGTCCAGGTTCTCAAGGAAGGGGGCTTCTAAAGTACTAAGTCGCCGACGTGCATGAGCTGGGCAAAAACACAAAAGATGAGATGCGCTCTCATCGTCCTCCCCACAGCTACGACAGATTTGATTGAAAGGAAGATCTAGTCTTCTAGCATGGTTCCCTAGCTTACAGTGTCCTGTAGTCAACCCTACCAGAGGACCAATGTGTTTGCGGGACATCTCAATTAGAGTTTTCGATTTCCTTTTATCGGAAAGTGGCCAGATTGTATACAGATGTCTACATATCGTTGAGTCTTCCTGTTCAATAATGAACATGTTATTTTAGGACATACAATCCTAAAACTATTAAAATTAAAATTGTATCTATTTTGAACGCTGGCAGGATGTGCCTAAATTTAAATTTATTTATTTATGTCTGTTATCATTTAAATTCTTAGAACTAATTTAAAATAATATTGTAAAAACATACAGTTTAAATATCTTATGAAACACATGGCACCGTATCTAATTAAGATAATAAAAATGTATTTAAACACAATAAAAGAAAATCCTGGTGCCGGGATTTTCTTCTGAGAAAAAATAATATCTCTTTGTTTTGAACCTTTGCGACAACAGTAGAATGTAAACTAAAAATAAAAAATAATACAGTCCACTAAAATAAATGATAACAGGCAACCAATTATTTCAACCCTTATTTGTAAGACAATTTTGTATAAATAGAGAATAATTTTTAAATTAAAATTAGTATTGAATTGATACTCTTGGAAAAAACATCCATTTCTCTTTCATTTCATTTATTTAATCACTTCCCATCTTTTGTTAAAACTATTAGTGCAGAAAGAACTCAATAACAATTTACATGAAGTTAGCGATATGTTCAGATAGTCTAGGTGCTCCGAGGATGTTCCTGAAGCACCTTTTCTGACTAACTCGTCTGCTTTGCAATTTCCGACAATTTCCATACTGCCCAGATTAGAGAAATATTGAGCTGCGTCGACATTTCGTTCAGAGATGTGTAGCATTCAAGAATCGTCCTAGATGTAAATTGGATTGAACTCAAGTTCTCAAAGCCTTACTTGACTTTTATTGTTCTAACTTAAACATAAACCAGCTGTAGCACAATTGAATTAATTAATTATAGTTTTTTAATAATTTAATTTCAGTACAATTTGTTGTCATTTCTTAAAATTGAAAATGTTTACAATTTACAAATCAATTAAATTGAATCTAATATGCTATAGAATAAAAGTAAAATTTTTTTGCAAATTTGCATCTGTAATATAAAGTGTTTTAATATCTAAGTCACCAAGTAATAAATTAGCATCCTATTTCTAGTTATTCTCCTTTCAGTTTTTATCAACTCGGAGTCATGTATATTGTCATGTAAATACAAAATAAATATTTAAAATTAAAATAAATTTGCAGCTTAGAAATGCAATGAAAATTCATGTATTAATACATTGTGACCGAAAAGTTTCCGGTCATAAATAAATAAAACGCAAAATTCTTAATCTTCATCAATATTTATTTTATCTCCTTCAAAAATATGCTCCATTAGAAGCGATACACAAATGCCAACGTTTCTTCCAATCATCAAAACATTTTTTATAGGCGCTTTCCGGTATGGCTTTGAGTTCCCTCTGCGAATTCTGTTTTACGTCTTCTATGGATTCAAAACGCGTTCCTCTGAGTGGTAATTTGAGGTTGGGAAACAGGAAAAAGTCACACGGTGCAAGATCAGGTGAATACGGTGGCTGTTCGATGGTATTTATTGAATGTTTGGCCTTAAAATCGTTGATAATGTTGAACAAATTGAGGTGAATCGGAACAAGCCGGGCGTTGACACGTCGCATACACAAATTGTCCACCAAAATCAAACGAGCCATCTCACGACCGATGCCTAGCTCTCGTGCTATCTCTCTAACACTCACATGAGGATTTTTGAACACGATTTCCTTTGCCTTTTCAATGTTTTCGTCGGTGGTAGAGGTCGAAGGTCGTCCAGAACGCGGCATGTCTTCGACGGTCGTACGACAGTCCTGAAAGGCTTTGTACCACTCATAAACTTGAGTTTTCGATAAAACTGATTCCCCATAAGCCTTTTGTAGCATTCGCAACGATTCTGCACACGAAATTTCGTTCGAAAAACAAAATTTGATGCAAACTCTTTGTTCAATATTTTTTTCCATTGTTTTTTTCGCAACGCACTACTGAGGTGAACTGGTTTCAACAGCTGCCGTAAACGAACTGTCTGACAGATCGCGCTCATTTTTGGCATAGTAATTAAGGATCAGTGCTGCCAAACTACATAAACTTAAAATATCGAAAAATATACAGCGCGCGAATTTTAAATGAGAACCTCCGAAAACCTTTCGGTCACAATGTAAACCCAACATAAATCATTACCTAAACTTTCTATACGGAACCATTTAAGGGGACTTTGTAAATATGGTTGCTGCCAACTGCTAAAAGAAAATTTTAAAGTCATAAATGTTTTTAGTCTCACAAAATGAAAAACTTCACTTGTAAGTGCAACAATTTCACCTTATGATTTGTCCCTTTTTTCTTGACATTTTTGCTTCACAATTTTTATTTGCTGCTGGTAATGAGACCTCAACCAATTGACTCCCATATGCGTGGGTCTTGAGGCTGACAGTCAACCACACTCGTAAAACAAAGTCGCACATACAATAAAGCAAATAATTGAAATTCATGCAATTGCAACGTGCAACATTTAAACTGCCTGCAATAGTTGCACGACAACAGAATAACGTCGAGCAATGGCAACTGGAAAAGTTGTGGTGTTGCCTTTTCCGTGCTGCTGCACAAAGGCGTTTATGTGGCATGACATTCTCTGCACAGCATTTGCTATAAATCATACGCTCCTTCGTCCTTTGACTACCACTTAAGCGAGTTTTGTTGCCAATTTGGATGACAAGCTATAGTTTGTTACCTGCCAGCAAATTGCTCCTCATACCGTCAGGTCTTGATGGTGGCAAACAATTCGCACATTTCAAAATGATTCAAAATAACTGAAATGGTTGTGTTAGCAATGGAGAGAGTCGAAGAAGGCTCTGTGATGAAGTCATTAGTGGTTGCGAAATACGATAATAGTTCAATTTTTCAACCAGGAAATGGTTTTTGTAATAAAAGGATATTAATATTTTGTTTATAATTACAAAATTGACATATCTGCATTTTAATTTAGTTGCTGGCATAAGTTTGCATTAGTGGTGAAAATTTACTCACTTTGTCTTAATCACAGTATTGATTACAAATTAATGTCAACCGCTGAGATAAATTTCAAGTACCATTTCATTTTAATGCTTACATAAACGTCTACAGCAGGATTGAATACGCCTCCAATCCTGCATAATATCTCTGAACATCTGAACATCATGCAAAGTCATGTAAGTTTATGCAGTCACACGTACTTCTCCCCGCTAAATCGGTTTATATCTATTGAATTCCAAAGCCGCACTCTCCACATGACGCCGCAAGATAACTTAAGTAGATTGTAATGTATGTGTGGCATATTAGCTTAACTTGAACATCATTATTATCACTTGTGCCCCGCATGCTCTATCAGTTGCCAACAACCCCCCAACTACACCCCGAGCAGCGTTGATAACATTCGTGTTCATAATGTAGCAATTTTTTGTGTTTGCGATTTGGGGGTATCTTAATCTGTTTGTCAATTAATTGATAGAGTCTGGAGCGGATGCGGAAATTTTCTACTTACACGTGTGCAATAATAAAGGCATTACAATGTACATGATTTTGTATAAAAAGAGCATATAAAACAGGAATAATTTAATTTATTAAATAATATTACTACAGTAAACACAATGTTTTCATCTCAGACCACTTTTAATGACTTTAGAAGTTCATTAAAATAATAAAGAAGTGTTGCAGACAAGTAACACGCTATGTTTTCAGATTAATTCAACAGAATTTATGTTGAGAAAAAGGACATATATTGGAGTCGCGATGAGTCAATCTTAATAAAAAAGGTAGAAGTCAACACACTTTTCATTAAAAAACTGAAATTTTATAAGATTTATTGGTAATATATACAATTAAAAGGACTATTTTATTAATATGACAGATAATAAAGTTGTTCTTAAAGAATCATTTGGCTATATATGGCCATTAGGTTATATATAATCATGGCTATATATAAGCCATTAGTGTGGATATAGCTAACGAACCACACAAGACAGGTATGGTTGAAGGGAAGATTTAGTTTCCTAGCATGGTTACCTAAAATACAAGGACCCGTAAGTAAACTTACTACAAGACTGACATCGGGGGCTACGGGGTTTTTCAATGAGAGAATTCGATTTTATTTTATTAGAGCGTGTCCAAACTGCCTACAGATACCTGCATATCGTTGAGTCTTCCCATCTTTTCTGAAAAAGTTCGGCACAGAAAAAACTCAGTGCCAGTTTGCATGATGTCAACGATGTGCCTAGATTGTTTAGGTGTTCCGAGCGATTTCCTAAAGTATCCCGACCAGCTAGTATCCCGTCTGCTTTAGCTTGGAAACCCAGATTAGAGAAATATTGAACTGTAGCAGTCACAGACTGTCCATAAAAACTTTATGTATATCCAAAAAGATTCAACAAAATTATTTAACAAAACTATGATACATCAATATAACATACATGAATGATTTCAGATTAGGGGTAAAGATATTTTCACTATTTGCTTCAAAAAATCACTCATTTACGTTACGTCATTTAAATCACGTAACGAAACCACAATTTTTCAGTCTACAGTTTTACCCATAAGAGAGGTTTGTCGCTTTAGTGCAAATGATATCAAGAACAGATAAGGAGTGTTTATTCTTCTTAAGCTAATTAAATTGTGCAGAACAAAAATTAGTGTCTAAATCGACTAGCTGAAGTCCCTCTCAACTGGGTTCACAACACAGAAAAATTAAAGAATCAAACAGCAGATAGTTAAGAGAATTATCTGAATTTATCTGAAATAAGTTATCCCACTTTTGAAACTTTTGTTCCAATTATAATTGGAAGTCGTTTAAGCCAACCTGGATATCATATAACAATACCGGATCTTGAGAACACGTTAACAGGCACCACGAAATTAGATACTCTTACTGTTTTACTTATTTATTCGCTTTGAGGCTTTTATAAAATATACTAACCATAACTAATCTAACCATATTATTAACATTTGATCTTTATTACAGTGGCGATGCATTGGCAACTCTTTTCTCAGCGCTTTATGGAAAATTATTGGTGGTTATGGGTATTGCCTTCCCAATGGCTGAGGTTATATCTACTTATATACCACCTTCGTTTTATGAGGTAAGTTTATTAAGTATATTATGTTAGATATTTATTCTAATTCTTAACAAAGTTTTAAAATCAGCGTTTTAATAGGTTTGAATATTTTAAATATATACACGCATATTTATATTGATATTAGCTGAAGAGAAAAACTCAGCTTTTGTTGTAAAAACAAAAAAACGTTCAATTAATATTTCTATATAAAATTTTATATTATTTTTAAAATTAAATTTTGAAATATAATCCAACGCTTAATAAGTTTGTAGGATCAGTAACTAATAACACAACAACAGTTAGATAAAATTTTGATTGTATTCGGAAGCATAGTCTTCATCAAGAGTGATGCTTCATTTCAATGTTTCCCGAAGCTGCGAATTTTTGGCAGAACAATTTTTCTTTGACCTCAGAATAAGTAATAGCCTTATAAATTCCATTTTGATTAAAATCAAATTTTTACCCAGAGTATTTCATTAAGGTCCTCAAATAGTTAGTCATAGCTGAGTACGTGATCAACTTGTGATCTGGTATATTATCTTATTGACAGAGAACTTTTTTTCTTAATTTGGAATCGCTGCTTCGCAATTTATTCTTCCTAACACAATAGTAAGCCCATAAAATCTTAGCTATTGATTATTTTTTCTATTCTAACACAACCTAATCAATCCTATCTCATATGGAGGCCAAAGTCTTAGAGTAGCTATTTGTTAGTATAACTGCCTGTTAGTGGATGATCTGTGTTCCATCCACAGTCACACACATAATTTGTCATCAACACATTTTCAGAAATCTCAGAGTAAATAGAGTAAACTCGTTACTTTACTGTAGTGTATATACTTCGTTTTGATATCTTTAAGTTGTGAATTATTTCTCTAAATTTTACTTTACGGTAATTTTAAAAGATTTTAGTAGTTTTTTGACCAAAAATACAGGTGCCTAGCATGTTTAGCATTATCTTTATTGTAGTATTTAGACTTAAAAAATCACTGATAATAAATACTATGCAACAAAAATGTAATATAAATATATATATATATTAAGCAATATAATTCATTACAACTACATTAATGATATGAGTCCTTTCAATATATTTATTTAATATGACTTAATATGTAATGAGTTTATTATTTCACCCAATCATGTTTTGGTTTTATAGTTTAATTGACATAAAAAACAATTATGTTACACGTAACTTTGGATTCTTAAATGGAAATTGTAAACTTAGCCATACATAAGTAGTTTTTTACTTATTTATAATTCTCATCAGCTTCAATTAACAGCCCTTATAAATGTTCATGTATAGGTTCAAACGCGTTGAAATATTATTTTAATATAAATCATTTAAATACGGTCTCCCAGTTAAACGAAGTCCCTTTCTCAAAACTTAATTTCTTGGCACGAAGTTTATGAAGACTAAAATGAGAGTAGCATCATAGTTATTAGATTTTAGTTACATTTTTAAAAATGATTTAGTATATCCCATTAAATCAGAAATTAACAATTACCTGTTAAGTTAATGGAAGTTTTTATTTATTGACATGATTTTTAAGTGTCTTAAAATTTAGTTATTATAAAATTTAGGGTAATTCGGTTTTATTAAAAGTTGACAGAGCTGTCATCCTTCACATTTACAGATATAGATAGCCAGTTCGAAGCATCTCTCGCATTCATAAAAGAGTTGAAAATATGGGGAGATCGTTAAGATATCTTCCAAAACTTAAAAAGAAGACATTGTTAATAATTTAATATAATTAGTTTAAAATTTGAAATGTTTTAATTTTTTATATGAGACATTCCATTTGATGTAAAAAAGTTTTAAAGGGCTTAGCTGTAACCTAGTAATTTAAGTTTAATAGCATGAAATATTTCCGAACAACTCAAAAAACCCAACCGATATGCTTTAAAACTATATTTTATTATAGTTTTGTTTATGGTATAATAATTTTGCCTTAAATACTAAGAAAGAGATGCTTTCTTAAAGGATAGACGGAAGCAATTTTCACATATTATATTCTAGAATATTTTATGAATTTTTCTTGTAGTAAAAGCCTTTTGCTTCCGTGCAGTCCTTATGCATTCATAATCTATTGTTTTTTGTTATTCAAATATTTATAAAATTGTATAACAGCACCAAAACATTGGCGGTGGATTATTACATATATAAATGTATATATATTTATGTATATATATTAATGTATATATATTACATGTCTGCTTAAATTGTGTGGTTATGGACATAAATATAAACAAGGACGAGCATGAAAACTTAACCGCTTGCTGAAGAAACTTGAAGGGATTATTGTAAAATTCTGAAGTACTTGAGTTTTGAAGTTTTTTTTTATTAAATCATTAAATAAAAATACTTAGAATAATTTTCGAATCAAATATTTATGTAAAGAGCAATAGAGCCTGTCATATGTTGGCTTTACATAAATCGTTACTTTGTTTTATAGAGAAAAGCGTTTTCTGTAATACTTTCCTTAATAGTTGAAGTAAAATATATAAAAATGTGTTTCAAAAACAAACTATATTACTTTGAAAACATGGAAAGGTTATGACATTTATACTATAACAAAATATTTAGCAGATTATTATGAAATGATTATGAAGTGAAGTAAATTATTAGTTGAATGTGTGCTTAACCTGAATTCAGTTCTATTATATTATTAATTTGGATTGAATTGGTCAATTGATGATATTTTATTACTTTTCTTTGTATAACGTTGATCATGTGAAAGAGAGCACCTTAGAGAACGTAACATCATTGTCAAAATTATAAAACTATACATAGACTTATTCCAATACTTCCTTTCCAGTAACTATGTGTTGATGCATAACATAAGTTATTAAGTGTTTTTCTTTGCTTAATGAAACACGAATTTGTGTCTAAAGCAGTTTTATTTAATAGTGTTTATGATCCCTTCGGCTATCCACTGTAATAAGTGTTTCATTGAACTATGATAATGAGTTATTAAGATGATTTTAAAAAAGTGTAGTTACTACTATACTGTAGTTATACTACTATTCGGTAATTTTAATACTTTTTCTTTCAAAGTCACTTAACCGAAAAACAAGGATGTGTATACAACCCAGTTTTGATATCCATATTCTTACATGATCTGGATGACTTCTTAACAGGTGGAGTACATATCGGTGAAACTTGTATAAAAGTGCTCTTATACGCAGATGATGTGGTACTGCTTGCTAACGCACCTGAAATATTCCAAAGTATGATTAATGATATCTATTATTTACAATGGGATCTTATCGGTAATGTAGACAAAACTAAAATGTTATCGTGGAAGTTCGGAGTAAGGTAGTTACAAATAGTTAAGTAGAATAGAATAATTAAGTTTGGGGTGTGAAACATTATGAAAAAGTAGAAAAACTATTTAGTTTTTTTTTTAAAAAAGTCTTATTCCGCTTCTCAAACACTTTTAAACGAAATTGAAATTAAAATTTGTGAACACAGTGCAAACACATTTAGCTTATATAAAAAAACGACTTAATTTTCCTTCAACTTTCTGGAATACTAGTTGAATTTACGATTGACAAAGGCATTTTCAGAGCCAAGAAGAAGAAAGCCCTTTCAAAAATCAGTTTTCCGATTACAAAGCTTAAATTATTACACAATAATAGTATGGTTTCTTACAAATTGAGGGAACACGAATCCTTTGTTGAGAACCTGAATCTTATGAATATGATATGGACATAATTTTTATTATGAAAACACTGAGCATATATCCAGTATGTCCAGTTTTCAAATGTATAGAGGGTCTTATTAAATTGAACGTTAGAAAATTGAATATATTTAAGCAATATGGTTCTTTATGATGTCGTCGTGAAATAGATAATATATCTCTTATTATTGATATGTCCAATTTTTTAATGAGCATAGACAATTTTCTTTCGATAAAGAATTGAATTGAATAATGTAGAAGGTCTTTTTAAGTTGGTTATTAGAAAATTTAATATATCTGAACAATATAATTCTTTGTATTACCGTTGTGAAATAGAAAATATATATTCTATTATTGATATGAGCGATTTTAAGAAGCATACGAAATTTTTTTTTTCGATAAATCACTTTTGTATTTAAAAATTCATCTAAAATAAACAATAAAAAATAATATCAATTTAAGTGAAATTTTAAAATTTTTGTAAGTGCTTAATCAATTTCTTTGAATTAATAATTAATAATGAAATATAAATAAATATGAAAAGGTTCTGGGTGGTTTTAAACCCCGAGTTTTTCCTAACATATGTATGCGGTAACACAATGGGCAAATAGTGGATCCACCAGAGATCACCGGTATAACCTAACCTAACCTAAATAAATATAATACATAATTTAATTTTTTAATTTAATAAAATCCAAAATAAATTTAAAATTATTATTAAATCATCTGCAATTGCTTTTGCTCAAATTTAATATTTGACTTGACCGATGGAATTTAAATTACCAATCGGAATTATTGTTATGTAAAATTTCGTCTGTTGTCCTTACTTGGCAAACAATCTCCTGTCAGGAAATTAATTATTGAACACAAAATAAAAAGCAAAGCAAATATTAACAGAGAAAACAAAACTCAATACCACAAGCGCATTTGTACGTTTACGGCAACTCTAATGTGCCTACAAGGCGAGATATGTCATGTGCAATTACACAAGGAATCAACTTAACGTTCCCTACTCGGTACTCTAATAGGTAACTAGTAGGCTAGGTGTGTCCTGGTATTCTGTTTTAACGTATGTCATCTGATGCGGCACAGACTACATATGGCACAGCTAAGCTTCTTTGCATACTTTAAGGCGACAGAAACAAATGAGACAACATAAAACGGCAATCAAACCGCATCATCCAAGTGGGTGTGTGTGTGTGTGTGTGTGTGTGTGTGTAGTGTGATTCGTTTGCTTCTGCACACCCACACAGATGAGAATAAGCTCTACTCACATCACCTGCCCAAATAGATTGGCGTGCGTGCTATGTAATTGTGGCTTATTGATGTACTGTTGGAATAATGCTGACATGATAGAGGCAAGCAACAGATTTTTGTGGTTCAAATTTATTTTACCTCGGGATTTATGGAGCTAATATTACGAAAAAGGATTTTTCAATTTTATTTATGAAAATAAATGAAACATGCATTTACATGTTTATTTTATATATTTTCAGGTTTATTATTTGTATTTATACATTGGCAGCATGATATTTTTATTCTTCATGTACACAACATTAATATGGGGCAGACCGAAAATCCCGGTTAACATTGGTGAGTACGATAAGTGCGAGTAGAATCACAATGTGCTCATATGTGTGTGTGGTCGTTGTAATTAAACACAGCAAACATTTTTACAAAAATTAATTAAAAATACAAAATGTTATTTTTTTATTTACTTGCTTCGAGTTACTCATAATTATTATTAATAAAAATTTTTTATTTAATATTCACTTCAGCATCGCCCACAAAATCAAAGGCAAAAGCTCGCGCCAGCAACTCCTCGGAAAGCATGGACGAATCGGACACTGACAGCAATTCGATACACAACAAACACATACCAGTCGCACTGCCAGCGGCTAGGAGGCCCTCACTGCTGGCACCACTCGGAGGGCAACACCACTACGGTAGCTTTTATCTGCGTATGGGAGCGGTGGGTAAGTAAGCGCGCACCGCGCAAAGACTGAAATTATGAAGATTTATGCATTCGAAAGTGTAAATGAAAGCGTAATTTTAATGAAAATTTATGTAAATTATATGAAATTCATGCGAAATGTTTATGCGAAAATTTATGCAGAGCTGAAGTGTTGAAATCTTGAGAAAACTTTAAGATTTAACGGTTGAAGAAATTCCTAATTAGATTTTAACGATTTTTTTAGGTCCTCTTAGTCTTAGATGGTTTTAGGACAAGAGGAAAGAGCGAAATGAGAAGGAAAGATTAGAAAGGTGGCTTTAATTAATTGTTATTATACAGATAATTAATTTTAGCGATAATTTATAATAAAATTAAAGCACTAATGAAAATTTAAAATTTTGTATTTTAATTATTAAACATTTCTTTTAATGTTTTTTTTTTTGTTTATTTTAATTTTTGATGTACTTTAAGGGTTTATAATTTGTAAAAACTAATTATAAATATTATTTTCTGCACTTATACTTAAGTGTCTATTTGATACTAATATGACAAATGTTTGAATTTCCAGTATTACTTAAGTGGGCAATGTCGAACACTTAAGAGTTACTTAACCTAAGTGTGCATTATAGCATTAGGCGTTAGAAACACTTTTAAAGAGTAGTGGACAACAAATTTCTATTGAATAAATACTTTATTTTGTCAAAATTGACTTTTATAATCAATTTTAATTGTTTTAAGTTGAATAAAATATTAACAGTGAATTGCGATACAAATTGGAGAACCTTGAAGTGACTATCCTTAAAATTTTCAAATTTTTATGCTGCAACAAATGTTTCCATATGTTTATTATTTCAATATAAATTAGAATTGTTTACGCCGCAATAACTTGTATAATATTATTTTCTTCAACTACAGTTTGTTAAAGGTCATTTGAGGACTGATTGCGTTATACAAACGATAACTTCTATCATCAGGTTATCGAGTCCCGGAACAACTTTTATGGTCTTTACAATTCTTCATTGGTTTGATAGTATTCGTTAATCTTGCAGTAGATGTAGTCATAATTTTTACGTTAGAATGGGAGTAGTAAAAAGAATTTCAAGGCTTATTTACCATAGTTAGATGATCAAGTATGGACCGTTTTGTTCGATAACTTGTCATTTTGAAGGTAATTTCATAATACCTCTCCCATAAAAGTTCTCGTAGCTATTGGCAAAAAATTGGAACATTTGATTTTCACAAACCTCTCTGGAAGTGTGCAGGAACATAGCAGATGGTAATTACTTGCTGTTGGGTCTGACCTATAAAGTAGATGTATAAGAACTTTCCAACTAAGCTTCCGGACCTTTGAGTCCGGTCATTATTGATGTATGTGTCCTGAAGTTATCTTGATGGAACACAATTCCTCTCCTTTTATTCAAAGCTGACCGCTTCTGTGCATTGCTTCCTTCAGACGTTCAGACAGTCCAATTGTTGACAGTACAGTTCCGAATTAAGAGTTTTGGTATAGGGGAGGAGGTCATAGTAGAAGATTCCCTATTAATCGCACGATTCGAACACGAGCGTTTTGGCAGATGGAAATTTGGTCCATTCGATTTTTTGTGTTAACTCAAAGATAAACTGTCAAATATGACGTCTTTTTCTATGCTAGTGTCCATTATGAAGCGTGCTCAAACAAAATTGAGTCAACCAATTACCAAACTGTCAAAAACTTTTTAGTACAAAATCTTCTCTTTCTAACGTAATCTAGCGTTATCTAACCCAACGTGGAATACAGATAACTAAAGCCTGTTTGGCTGTTACCTTTTATATTGAGTTCCTTACAACATTTACAATGTGACAGCGTTTTGAGAGGTCTTAGTATATTGACCGATGTATTTTGCATCCGACGTTTTAGTCTATTGGTCCGCCAACTAAAGAATGAGTTGTATTTAGTAAGCTACATTTAATGAGTTCCAGATATAAAATAAGATTTGTCTGCTTCTTGTTTTTTAGCTTTTTTAGATCCTGTGGCTTTTTTTTCATTTTTATGATATATAAAATATTATTACACTATAATTTATATTATTTGATGGTGTTCTTGTCTGAGAGTATTAATTTTTACTGGCTTCTAAACAATTTTCTGTGCTATTGCTTATCTCATTTATTACGTGAAAGGAGGGCAAAAATAATAAGTAAATTACTGCATAAAATTCTTTACAATCCAAAAATTATACCATCTAATGGATAAAACATTACTTACACCTTTTTAGGAGTTTTTTTATTTCTTTATAATAAATTAGTATCTTTCAAGTTTCATTAGACACTTCCACCCAAACATTTCCTTCTTGGTCTCCCCCTTACGACAAGTTATGTTAAGAAAAAAATTGCATCTGCAAAAGCGTCAGATATCCCTTAAGAACCATTTGTGTCTGCGTAAAACCCTGCTGCATAAATTTAGAAAATAAGTTATATTTATGTTTCGGTAACGTTTTAACAATGTTTTTATTTTTTGTTTCATTTTGTCAAGTCGACGCAGACAATGTCAATCTTTATACTTCTAATAGAAATAAATCAACTTAACTTTGTTGGTAATAAAATTCTGTTTACAATTCCTTTACTTTATAGTCACTTTATGTCATTCTTAAAATTTCAGAGAAGAGAATTTTGTGTCTACTGATTTGCTTTTGAACTTTGTGACGAGTTGGATGGATTGTCGTGATAATTTCCGCCCATTTTTGCCAGACATCCGATTTTATTATTCTTTAAAATATTTTAATACGATTTCCTCAACATTTTTATTTGAACAGCTATAAAAACAAAAATAAAAAGTTCTTCATTTCATGTGAAATTGTGTCATAAAAAGGATAATAAAGCACACCTGTACCTCTGTCAATTAGTGAAAGAAACTCTGTTAAGATTTTCTCAAGATTTTTCACACAATTAATTTTCTCTACAACAGTTAAAATTAAATTTTTTTCAACAGTTATTAACAAAATATTAATGTTTTTTTCCTTTCTTAAAGCTTTTGGTATTGGCAGTATGATTTATTCGGGCTTGGAATTTGGTCAATATTTCGAACTGAATCCTGATACGAAATGTCATAATGTTTTGCTGGCTCTGACCCCCGCAACACGCATGGCATTCATTTTCATACAAATGTATTTCATCTTTTTGAATAATGAGGTAAGTTTTGGGTATAATAAATTACACAATTACACAATTTGTTAAAATGAAAGGCAATTAATTTGTACAAGATTAAAACGAAATATTTTTGGAAAAATAATCAATCATCTTCGATTCTGTATAAAAGGTTTTGTTTCAATCTTCTTTTGAAAATTCCAAAAAATGTACATGAAAAAGTAAAGTAAATATTAGTATAATTATTTATAATCACATTATCTTAACTATATTACAGAAAAAAAAAATAATTGGAATATTGTTTTACTCTTTTACTTTCAGCAAATCAAAGTATATCGCTACAAAATCATCGCACGTTTCGGTTTGATGCATATGATTGGAACCAATTTAGCGGTCTGGCTGAACGTATTAATACAGGAAACCAAACACGAAATATTGACCTTTTACAATCCTGAAAATCGTACATTACGTATATCTCATCGCATACCAGGTCATTCACGTGGACATGGCGGACATGCGCTCATGGCCAGTGATCCCACCGCACACCTGCGTCTACCACGTGGACTTAAAGGACCATATCAGATCTTCGAATGTCGCCGTACTAATATAATTGGTACCTTAGTGCAAGATGCTTCTCCATTTCTCTTCCCATGCACCATTGAATACTCGTTAATTTGCGCAGCCATTTTGTATGTTATGTGGCGTGGCATTTCGCGACCACAGTCACCAACGCCACAACGACCCGATACGATAAGTTCGCCTTTAAAACGATCACCACATCATTACTCTGTAGACTGCGCACGTGCACACAAGGGGCTCTTTGTTGGTATACTGATCCTAGTACTCACCATCATATCGCTTATACTTTTCTTTGTGCTGATTTCGCGTCCAGATTTCGTAGCTTTGGCTGTTACTGAGGTGACTATATGTGAGTTACTCATCTATGGTACCGCGACAATAGCTACTCTAGTGGGTATGATACAAATACGTCATTTGCAGTATGATGCTTATCGTAGCTTCTCTTTGGATGACATATTATTAGTAGGCGCACAAACTGGCTCATTTCTGTACAATATATTCACTGTAATTGCTGGACATTTCACCATACGTAGTGATGATATGCTTGTGCCACTCAATGCTTTGGCTTCTATTGTGCAAACTGCCTGTCAGACTATGTTTATACTGGACGCAAGTCGACGACAAGCTGTGACACCTGAGCATATACGCAAAAAGCCAGGTCGTGAAATTGTCACTTTCATGTTAGTCGTTAATCTGGCTATGTGGGCTATAAGTACGTTAGAGAAATCACGCGCAGAATCACATCCCATACAGCTTAACTTCTATGGCTTGTGGGCGTGGACTATTATCACGCACGTATCAATGCCTTTAGCTATATTTTATCGTTTCCATTCAACAGTTTGTTTGTGCGAAATCTGGAAGCGCGCCTATAAACTAAAACCCACGTACATGTGAGAAATGGCGCGCGAGCGCATTGCTAGCATTGCGCAACAACAACAATTTTGCGAAGATCTCAAAACTAATTTATCGTACTGTTACTGTTCCACAACATTGGTAGGTGGAGAGTTGGAGACAGTGGAAGAAGTCGATAGCGGCAGCGGAAATGGCAATGGCAATGGTGAAAACGGTGTTAAGGCAGGCAATAATGGTGATGCAACAGTTGCTGTACTAGAAGGCACTGGTACTGAGGTGACCGAAGAGGAAGATTTAGATACAACCGATGCAGAAACTGTTGTTGATCAACAACAGGAACAACAGAGGAATAAATCGAAGAAACTTATCGGCAGTGGACCCCAGTCAGCATTTCGACCGGTATTTGTTATAAATGGTGAATGAGTTTACGAGGAATTTGAGTTCATTGATGCGTCCAGCGATCGTGAACTCATTTTCGTTTGAAGTTCTTTAAGAGGTTTTTAATCGGAATCAGTGTGACGCTTTGATTGCATTGATAAAAAGTTACTCATGTTGATGAAACACTAATGAAAAATTATCATTATTACTACACATTTTAAATTGACCAATTTTGTTTTTAATAGATAAAAATATTGCAAAGTAAAAACTAAGCTCAAACTGATTTGAAAAAAATATAACCGAATCGATGCGTTTTTAAACATATCTTGCGAGTTTACTTGATGAAAAATGTTCAAATTTAGTCAGAAATGTTAACCTAAAAGATAATGAATTAGTATATGCAGAAAACAAACGATAATATATACATGTAGAAATATATTTATACCTTTTTATGAAGAATATAAACTATAATAAAGGGAATATTATGCATTTTAGGAGATTGAAATACTAAAATTCGATAAAGCGCAAATTATGAACAAACCTAATTATAATAAAAAAGTTTTACCAGTTTAAGGACAGTATCATTTCTAGATAAAATTCTTTAAAATTATTATCGAAAATAATATATAATAAAAAAATAATATACAAGTAACTAAAACAATTGGTTGAGAAATGAGGAAACAGTGTTCTTAGTGAAGCAGACATTGAGGTATTATGCTCCGAAAGGAGCTGAAGAACAACGATAATGAGTGTTTTAATGTTATAATTATCATAGCATAAAAAGTGCTGTTTGAGTTATGTATTAAAAGATATAGTTACGAAAAAAACTTAACATATAATTAATTCATTTCATTAAAAAGACAAGACTTTTTATGCAATCAAAATCAGCTGTTCTTTTAGAGAATAGTATTTCAATTTCTACTATTCACAGAATCATAAAATAAATTAAGAAAGTATTCCCTGTGCTAGACTGATATAGTGCTCAGAAATATCAAAAATATATTGTTTGCAGAGATATAAGTCAATATCAAAGACTTGATTCGAAGTTTTAATAAAAACTTTGACAGGTTTCTCAGTCAAAATTTTATAGGTCTGAACTCAGTTTATATATTAGTTTCTATATTTATTTTATTATTATACTTTTTTACTTAACTAACATTATAAACTCAAAGCCCTCATTATCGTTGTTCTTGAGTTACTTTTTACGAGAAAAGCGTCTTAATTGCTGTTCTTCAGAGATTTAATTTTTTTAAAGAGGACTTAAGTGTCAAATGCTGATTTGACTAGATTACTGCAACCAAATATTCTATATTTCCTTGGACTACAAATATATATTCAAACTTTTTTTTTATTGTAAATAATTACTTGACAATCGGAAGATAGTTTGAACTAATACTATAGAAGGAAGATCTTTTATCGCATATTTTGGAAGATTGAATAAAGGATATAGATATAAATTATAGAAGATGGTAATTGGTTGGAGAGAGTATTATAGAAGATGAGAAAAGGGAGGAGAGTAACAATATACGATGAATCAATTATATTATAAATATAGTAGAAAATATTTTGTTAAGGTGATATTAAAGACGATAAAAACTCAATTGAAGTAAGAGAGAAATAAACTAAAAGAAAACAATAAAACATATTAAGGTAATTCGATGATCTCATATAACTATACCTCTAAAATTTATAGAAGATGGAAGCAAACTTAGCGAAAGAAAAGACTCTTAGTAGTTGAGTAGAAAAAACTTGTATGGGAGTATAGTAAAAGTTGAAAAAAATATTTAAAGGAAAAAACGATTTAAGAAACTAAGCAAAACAGTTAAAGAAAATTACAAATGCTAAAAAAAATTGAATTCAATTTTCTTTTGAAGAGTTTTGAAGAGTTTTTTGTGGAGAGAAATATAATGTAATAAAGATTAGCTATCATATAGTTTCGTTTTGAACCCGGATTATAGGAAAAATATTCAAACAACTTATCACAGAGAATAATCTTAAATAACTATAATATTGAGGAGTTTGAAACTTGAGTGGAGTTTGAAAATATATTCAAGCAATTAAGAAGGGTTTTGTATTTCAGTAGAAGAAAAATGTTGAATTGAATTAGATGGTATATATATGAATGAATTATATTTGCATACTATATTAATTTTAATCCTTGATTGAACTGAGATTAATAAATAATTATTTTAAAACACCATATATATATCAAAAATACAAGTTTTTTTTAGAATGCAGTTTCTGAGATCCTAATATGATAATTCAAACTCCTAACGAAGAATATATTTTGAGGAAGATAAAAGATAGAATCAAGGTCTTGTTAGTAAAATTATAACATTTTTTAACAAATAATTTTACTGCCACAGATGCAGCTTGTTAATATTCAGTTAAAAAATATATATATTAACATATGTACTTAATAAATTAATATATATATCTGTTGAATATTTTTCAGTAAGAATTTCAAAACCCAGAAGTAACCGTTTTCGCAATGCTTGCCAATGTAAACTGGTAAGGCGGAATAGTTTTTAAAGAGTCAACAGATCTTTGATTATATATCAAAAAACTTAAAAAATTAAAACTGTTCAGACATTTTCTTCCTTATATTGTTCTGTAATAATATTTACAATTATTAAATTGTTGGGAATCATTTATTGATTCCAAGGTCTCTGTTATTTGAGCTTGATAAGGAAATGTTACTGTTTTTAAATTAAAAAATTCTGGAAAATTTCTTTAGACAACTAAAAACCTAACTAATCGAGCAAATAATCGACTTTATAGGGCTATTCATAAGCTTGCCAAGCTCGTCAGTTGCAGAGAGAACGCCGATATGATGAAATATAATATATATTGAGAATATCTTATTTCAGCTATCGAATTGTATTAAGAGTGAAGTACGGATAATATAATAATTTGTGCCATTTTAAATAAAAAACTAGAGCTTTTTCTCTTATCCTTTCTCTAATACTTTTGACGCATTTACTGAGAACACTGTTACCTTACACTTGACCAAAAATAAATTGAAATATGAGTTATATACAAATATAAAATTGAAAAAATTAATACAAAATTAAAATAAAAAATTTTTTATTTATTTTTTTAACTACTTTTAAAATTAAGCAAAGTTGAACCCACCATCATGAAGACCACAATAACGCATACACCATACATAAATTGAATATATTTTGACCAAATCATCTCTAACGTAATTATTTTTCGAAAATAAAACTTTTAAGAAAACATATAAATTACAATAAGAAATTATTAAGAAAATATTATTTTAAAGAAAATATTAACAAAAATTGAAGTAAAAAGAACATTATATGTATACTTAAATATATACCGGAAAACCGATATATATATTTAAATCTGTCAACATAAATAAATTGGAAGGTATTTATTACTCAAGTAAAGTAGCAGGAAAACATATGAACGAAACAGTTAAATATTAGAGATATACTCCATTAAATCATATATAACTAAAATTATAATACTAATAATATATGTATACATATATATATATATTAAATAGACTGATTGTGTGTTCAAGTTAAAATTAAAAAGCGAAAAATTTAATTAATATTTAAAAAAACTAAATTAGAGCACATAAGGATATTTATTTCAAATAATAAAAATGATTAAAATTATATATTAATATTAATAAAAAAAAAAGAAAACTAATAATAAAAACAATATGGGAACTAATATATATGATAAAAATATTAACAAATAGAGTTTGGGTAATATAGATAAACCTTTTTTCATTACAGAAATTATTATATATAAGAATGCTCAAAGTTAATATTAAAGTTGGTCAAATCGATTTAAAAACTCATTCACTAGAAAAGCTGGAGAAGGTTAATAATAGTTTATTTATTATATATTGTAAATTGCTATTTTCCTGTAAAAGATTGCAAAATTGTTTTGTTGCTTTATTAAGTGTTAAGTTAAAATAATTTATTAGTTATTTAAGAACTTAATGTAATTTAAAATGATATTATTAGTATTAGAAAGCAATTGTTTGTTTATTAATTTTGTTACTTTTGTGATAATTTGGCATGAAAAAATGCCCATAAATATTATTAATTTATAATGAATAATTTAAAAAAAATTTAGTGAAAGTTAAATTTATTTATTGTCGTATAAGAAAAACAAAAACCAAAAAACAAAAAAAAAGCAACTTAATATTAAATTAGAAATTAAGATTGAATATTATATGAGATATACAAAAACTTAAACTTTAAAATTAAAATGTTTACTATAAAAATAAAAAAGAAATAAATAAAAAATATATTTATATTATTGGCATATTTATTGGAATATTGGTAATAAATTAAAAAATATAAAATACTCTTCAGTTTGACAAACATAATATTAATAAATGAAGTATTTTAAGTAAAAATTTTGAGTAAGTACATTAAGGACTTATAAAATCAATATGAATTTATTATATCAATTTTTATTTCAATAATCAACAAAATATAATTAAGAATTATTTTCTAAAATTATTTTAATTATTTAAATTAATATCTGATTTTATGGAGGTTATATTAGATATTAGCACGCTATGTATTAATACTACTACTATTAAAAAATATTTTAAAATTTTGATTTTATAAAAATATGAATCTATGAACTAATAACAATACATAATAATTTTTAAAATTATT